ACCCTCCTCTTTTATCCCTCATTTTGGTTTGATTATATGGCACTATATAAATCCTATATAATAACAATAATCTCCAAAAGTAAATAACCAGAAAATGAATGCAGCAGTATTAATAGGGATTTAACTTGTACAGCTGGCCATACATGCATCGAACAGATTCCCCCATCCAAACAAGTGAGGTAGATGGAGGAATCTTCCACGCTGTGCCAGTGTAGTCTGACAGCAGAGACTTCTCCACTGTCGTAAAACACTGATCAAATGAACATTTTCCTACATTCTTGTTGGGCCAGTTCGTACCACAAAAACACACTCCAGATCCATTCTAGATGCATTTCTGCATGCGTGTTTAACACATTTTTATACAATCTGGTGTGTTTTGTGTTGCATTTTTTAAGCATTTCTGGATGCATTCCAGATGCTTTTTTTCTTCTTTTGTCCTCTTTTTTTCTCACTGTACTGGGGCCCAGTGTGATTTTGATGTGTTCCGGTACATTCTAGTGTGTTTTTTATGTGTTTTACCACGTTCCAGTACAGTCCAGTGCAGTAAAAAAGCAGCATGTTCCAATTTTTTTTTGGAATGCCCTGGAACTGAGTGCACTGATGTGAACTATGCCATTGGAAACCATATAACCTACTTTCCATGCATTTTTGATGCAAAAGAAACCACAGTGTACTGCATGTGGCGTGAGAGAGGTTGAACATTACAGATCAACTTCTCTCAAGGAGCAACGGCCATAGACAGGTCAAAATTGGGCCAATTTAGTAAACAATTTTGATCCTTCTATGGCCAGCATAAGCTGTCTGTAAGAGGCAAGATCGATCTTGGAGCTGGGTTTACCCTTTGCTTTGTTGTACAAAAATAGGTCTAATTATATACAGTCTCTAAACATGCACTGAATATTACACAAATTAATGCATGGGAACAGTAACCAAAAACCTCTGACTTGCCAGAAATAAATGTTGAAATTCATGCTCTAAATTTAATAAAATGAAGTACCAAATCATCCTCTTCTTGGAATAAAGTAAACACTATTGACTGGAACTAACAGAAAAGTAAAAGAAAGCAAAACGACTTTGTTAATAGAGGAAGTAACTGTCATTGCCATGCATGAATGACTATCAAAAGTTTAAATAGCATTTAGCTAAACACTTTAAGGTTTGGAGTGCAAGCATTCGACTTTGTATTGAGCTGACAAATAATATTCAGACTTATCTAGGCTCTGTTCACATTTATATAGGTGGGAACAGGTCACCCGTGTTTTTTGCTCATTTGATGCATCCCGTTTGAGGCAGAGACTTCAAATGGTTATCCTCTGCATCACAATGGCACAAAAGAAGTGCAGGCCCCCCCTTTTTTTTATTACATTGCTCTGCAACGCATGGCAATGACTTACCATGCATTCTGGTACATTTCAGCACATGATCAATGGTTGGTGCTTTTGGAGTGCCCTTAAGAATGAATGGCATCACAGTGCTCCTGACAGAACATGGGGTGTTTTTATGAGCAGTGTGAACATGTGCAAAATCACACATGTTCCTATGTTGCATAAGTGTGATTGGGGCCTTATGAAGGCAATGTAGCTACTCCAGAATTATTTAATTGCTTTACCTGCTCTAAAGTGATGAACAATTATTTCTGAGTAGTTATTAAGGGTACTTGTGTGTTTCACCCAAAAATTCTAAATAATTGCCCTGTAATAGAAGACATGAAGGCCTCATTCATACCTTTGTTTTAACCCAAATTTGCCTAATATTATTGGATAAGTACAACAGATTATGGACAACTGTGGAAGTGTTGACTGCTGAAGACTGCCACAGGCAGTACTGATGGAAGACAGTCAAGTTCAAGAAAAACAACAGACTATATTCTGCACTAAAGTGTGGTGCCAATATTGCAGGCTGATGTTTTCTACTTCAGGTATCCCAAGCCTACAAACAAAAGTCCAATTCCCAGACACCCACTAAGCCATGTCCCCCCCTCAGACAGGGGTGATCCAGAAACACTATCTTCAAAAAGACAAAAGAGGGCACACCAGCTTCATGCGTTAACCAAAACACCATTTATTTAGAAGCTAAAAAAGGTAATTATACTCACAAACCGCCATTAAAGAAAGGCTCATCACAAATATCCACAGCAAAGAGATCCAGAACCACTCTGTATTCCTCCAGATGGACTGAGGAGATGTCACAAAGGCCGGCAGATGCTAATGTGTTTCGAAGGTGCCCCCTTCTTCTTCAGACATAAATGTCTGATGTACACTACATGTTTTTTTAAAGCATCTATGTGTTAAGACAATAACCCCCCCAGCCCCACCCTTTATTGATGAGAGGGCAATGTGAGAGATGCTAACTAGGTAGTTCAGGTATGAGCCAATGTCTGAAGAACCTGAAATACAGCAGACATTCTGCTCAGAAGAAGAGGGGGCACCCTCAAAACATGTTAAGATTCTGCAGACCTTTGTGGCGTCTCCTGGTCCATCTGGAAGCATAAACAGTGTTTCTGGTCGTCTTCATTGTGGATATTTGTGATAAGCTTTTCTTTAATGTCCATTTGTGAGTAGAATTACTTATTTTTATCTTCTAAATAAATGGGGTTTTGGCTAACAAACAAGGCTAGTGAGCCCCTTTGTCTTTTTACAGACAGTGGACTTCAGCCTGCTGGAGAGATGTGCTTGGGCCTCATTCACACCTGTGACAACAATTTCCAGTGGGAGCCTCATAAAAATTAACAAGAGGCTGACAGCACCCACAACCATGTGCAGCTACTCATATGTAATCGGATATTACCTGTGGATGATTGGCCCTGGCGGCAGTTTGTTTGTGCCCCGGCTTAATCATCCACAGGTAATCGGTGCATGTTTGATTACATGTCAACAGATGTGGGAACTGTCAGCCTTGCATTGCATTGTATGAGGTATAAAATAATCCCTGTCCATTTTTTGCCATCTGTTTCCCATTTGGAAGATTTCCCTTAGTCTCATAGCCAAAACAGGAAGCGAGAGGAAATCTCTCAAAAGTGAGGGAATACCTACCTGGTTGACACCAGGGTCACCACAATTAGTATCACCATTAAAAGATTTCCTCTTTATTCCTATTCTGGTGACAACACAAAATTGGGGATTTTCTTTTCCTTTCATTTTCAGTGTTAACGGTAAACAGGAAAAATAGCGAGGGTTCTTCTCCCTAATATGAACACAGGCAGCAATAAAAACATGACAGGTGTTTTAATTCCTTCTCTGTAAAAAAAAAAAAAAAAAGGATAGGCAGATAAACACTGATGACAATGAATGGGGACATCTGTTATGAAGTCTTTGGAGGGTCCTCAACTACATATGTTGACACGTCCACACAGTTACTCATATTTCAGGAATGCCATTTACTAAGCATACATGACACATTTTCCAGCAGAAAACAGTGAAAATATTAAAACAGTCCAATATATGGACCCTGCATTCACTATATCTGTTCTCCCACAGTACACAGAACATGGAAATGCAATTCTTTTAGTACATATAAAACTGCTAAATACCTTTTTTCATCAGCAGCTAGAGCAATCTTATGTTTTCTAGCAGTGTCCAGCTGAGCACCGCTTAAAGCTTGTAGAAGGAGTTTTAATTCTGCTCTGACTGTCCTATGAGGCTGACCTTCTGTCTGGATGGTGCTGATTGGCTCTTTGCCGATCACATGCATCCTTCCCAAAGAAGAAAAAAACTCTGTAGCAATACAGCTTAAACTGAGCATGTGCAGAGTGACTCAGAGAGCTCTATACTATCAGCAGATAAATTGGGGACAGTAGAAGAAGAGGAGGATCAGAGAAGATAGGATCAAACAGCCTTTTTATACAATGCAGAGGATTAACCCCTTAGGTTGCACAGTGAGTATAACAAGCATGCTTTACTGCATATACAGACTGATTTTATTGTTGTGGGTTTAGTAACACTTTAAGGCTTTCTAATCACCCTACAAATGATAATCTTTGCCTGCAATTACATGAAGGTTAGGATATTTGTGCAATGTCCAGTTTGCTATACAGTACTTGCAATGACTTACTTGTAGAACTGCTGACTAAGTATCACAAATATGTTTTGTCATCCTGCGATTAAAAAGTAGGAAAACGGGCACCCTTTTTTTCTTGCTGCATCACAAATGCCTTCCCCAAGACCACATATATGCTCTCACACCTGCTCTATGGTGCTAGATGTTGCATCCCAGTATATTGGAAATAGTCTTGGGCACCATTCATAGTAACATGGGCAATGAAAGTCAATTATATTGAATGCACGGAAAGCCTAATTGCCTCAGATAGGGGTAACCATGAAAATTTTCACAAAAACCGCTTCTATTGACAGGAATTCTCTGTCTCTGCTGAGTTTCAGGACCTTCTTCAAGGAAAGTGAATTGTAGGAGGAACAGAGACTGTATAGGTGGAGCCTCTCTCCTGTACTCTTGTGTCCTCCGAAACCTCTGTGCCACACACCACCTTTTCCTACCTCACTTCCTTCCCATTTTCCTTTTCTCATTTTTTTTTTTTCCTTTTTTATTCTATTACCCTATTCTATGACTCCTCTCATTTTTGACATATTGAATTTCAGATATGTATTTTCTAAATGGACCTACCCACATTTGATCCATTGTGGTTTCACATAATTCTCAATACGAGTGATTTAAATGGTTTATGATGAGCCAATTTACAGGGTTCAATATCACTATCTGTACAGTAGGTAAAAATACACAATGGCTCTCAATGAACTGTAAGAAAAAATATATATATTTTTTTTTTTCAGTGATGCTTGGCTAGTGCTACATGTTTCCATTATAGTAAATAGACACATTTATTTAGTAACAAAATACTAAAGAAAGGTTTATTCAATTGGATAAAGTATTAAAGTGTTAAACGTCTTAGCCATAAAGAATATATAAATGGTATTCATTTGCTTCATGTAGAGTAGCATTAATGTTAGCAGACACAGAAATAATGGTATTAAACAAGCTTGTCCTGTTCAACCAGCAAATTCAGTAGGTGGAATTCCTTTCACTCCAAGTCCAGTAATCTGTTATAAGAAAAATATTTGAAAACACATGATTTTAGTTGTATTCATTTATATAAATGCTACATTGCAATTAAAGTGTATACCACATGGATTTTTAAAAAGCTTATTGTGGAGACCCAGTGGTCTTCCTGTATGTAGAAAATATGAGCTTGTATGTTTTTTTTCCCTTAGACAACCAAGTATATTACTGGTCCATATATATGGATTGTAGTCCATCCTTGTCAAGGCCTCAAGGACTGCGATCCCTTGAAATGTTGGAGAGGATAAACTCTGTTTGCTTGAACACATACTGTACCTACTAAGGTTAGTTTGCTGCAGTACATCCAGACTGATACTTAACATCTACTAAAAAGTTTATTTGGATGGAAAACACACAAAAAAATTTTCAAGAGGTGTTCCATGCCTTAGACTACATGTACACTAGGCCAGCGTTTTTAACCACTGTGCCGCGGCACACTAGTGTGCCGTGAGATATTCTCTGGTGTGCCGTGGGAAAAATTCCAATTTCATCTGTAACATGTGGCTTCGGCTCACACAATAGACCAATCATTAGAATCTAATGATTCAGTGGTCGGCAAGCCGCGGCTCGCGAGCCACATGCGGCTCTTTACCCAGTCTACCCCTGCCTCCTCTCGGTTGGCAGCCCCAAAAGTCCGCGCGGACCTTTTAATCCGGCTTGCGGATGTGGCTGTCAGGATGTGTGTAGGCGGGGCAGCGTGCCGAACGTGAGGGGAGGGGAGCTAGGCTCCTCTCACAGTCCGCCCTGAAGACCCGAACGGCGCGGGAAGACAGCGAGAGGAACGCAAAAGGTAAGTGAATTGACACGGGGGACTTGGCTTACTAGAAGGGGGGGGGGGAATAGTACTGTGGGGGATGAAATACTATATGAGGGATGAATTACTTTATGAGGGATGAAATACTATATGGGGGGATGAAATACATATGGGGGATGAATTACTATATCAGGGATGAATTACTATATGAGGGATGAAATACTATATGGGGGATGAAATACTATATGGGGGGGATGAAATACTATATGGGGGGATGAATTACTATATGAGGGATGAAATACTATATGGGGGGATGAAATACTATATGAGGGATGAAATACTATATGGGGGATGAATTACTATATGAGGGATGAATTACTGTATGAGGGATGAAATACTATATGGGGGGATGAAATACTATATGAGGGATGAAATACTATATGAGGGGATGAAATACTATATGGGGGGATGAAATACTATATGGGGGATGAAATACTATATGAGGGATGAAATACACATATGAGGGGGATGAAATACTATATGAGGGATGAATTACTATATGAGGGATGAAATACTATATGGGGGGATGAAATACTATATGGGGGGATGAAATACTATATGGGGGGATGAAATACTATATGAGGGGATGAATTACTATGGGGGATGAATTACTATATGGAGGATGAATTACTATATGGGGGATTAATTACTATGCTTACTATGGGGGAATATTACTATACTTACTATGGATGACACATACACATCATTCATCTACTCTTGGTCCGGCCCCCGGGTCCAATTATAAAATACTTTATTATTTCATAATAAAGTAATTATTAAAATAAAAGTTTGTGTTTGATTCCTATTCAAGAGAATTACTTTATATATAGTCAATATAGGCACAGAGGTAAATTTTTTTTAACATTTTCTAATGGTGGTGTGCATGAAAAAAGTGTGCCTTTGCACAAAAAGGTGAAAAACTACACTGCACTAGGCTACCCTGACCAGCGTTTTCCCTTGGTCAGCGGTCAAAAAAGTTCCTATCCTGGATTCTTCTGCGTTCAGGACAGTGAGAGGTTTAACCTCAAAAAGCCAAAAATTCTGCTAAAAGGCCTATGTGTACAAGGACACATAGGCATTTATGGAATAGAGTTTAGGAGCTTTGGAAAACCAAAGCCAAAAGCTCCTAAACTGAAGTTTAGGAGCCCTAGTGATAAAAATAAATTTTGACCACTGGTCAGATATTAGCACAATCTCACTTTTTATCCTCATGCACACTGGACGTTTGATAACGCTGGTAACGTTAGCTGTGCAGATCACACAAGAGCAGACTAACACACAGGACAATAGTACACTGGTATGAATAATGGACAACACCAGGTAGCAGAACTGTAGACCACACAAGAGCAGGCAGAGGTCAGGAGCACACCAAACAGACAGAAGATCAACCAAGTAGCAGGACCATGGACCACCGCAGAGCAAGCGGGAGCATCAAACATGAGTGTATCAGATGAACAGCAGACCAGAACAAGTAGCAGGATAGTGGACTATTCCAACACATGGGGGAATATGTGAAACTTATGGCTTAAAGTACAGATCTCCAAACTTTCTAAACACAGAGCCAATTTACTGTGCTTCAGGCTTTGGGGAGGGCTAGAATGTGCCCAGTAGCTTCATTGCTTCATTGTCCCATACTGGGCCTCTTGGCTCACCAGCAGAAGTTGGCTTCCTAATTTTTTTGTCGGCCTCTAGAACAATTGCTCAAGCCTGGGGGAGCCCGTTTGTCCCTCTTCAGGGGTGCGGGACCGTATGACCACTATGATGCTCAATGAACAGATGTTGATAGTATCTGTAACGACTCCCAATGGAAATTCTTGAAAATATGGGAGCTGTGGTTGCAATATGCCTTTCCCTCGCTCCCCCCAGCTAGTCTGGGGTTGTGATGTTGCTCGGTATTGGCGTTCTTGGACCCCTGCTCTTGGTCTTGTTATTTTTTTTCTTTTGTACTCCTCTTTCCTTTCTTTTTTTCTGTTTGTTTTTGGTGTGGCAGTGGATAGCTGCCTTTAGTTTTGAGTTACTGTTGGTGTTATGCTAATATTTTTGTAATTTATGTGCCATTGATGGCCCCTGCGTGAGCGCACCTTTTGCTCTGTTGGTGTTAGAACACTGTTTTTTTTCAAATTTTGAAGTGCAATTAATAGCCCTTGCATGGACTTGTTTTGTTACTCCTGTCTTAAACTGTTTAAAAATTGATAAAAATATTGAAATACAGCTTTATTTTTGCATTGGTGTTTAGTGGAGTTTTGGCGTGTTTTTTTAACATAAAGAAAAAAATTTGGGGGGGGGGGTCAAAAAAGTCCAAAAACGCCGGTTTGTGGCGTTTACTGCGTTTTTCAGCGTTAGAGCATTTTTACAGCTAAAAAACTCCTCTAGAAATCCACTAGTCCACTTGGGTTTTTTTCCAGCCAAAAAAATGTTGATTACAGTCTATGTGTGCATGGACACATAGTATAACATGCTGGGGGGTTTAACAGCTGTAGAAAAAGTGTCAAAAGCCAAAAACAGCCACTGTAAAAATGTCAAGTGAGTATGAGAAACCCTGCTCCTAGAGGAGTTTTTTTTAGCATTTTGCCTATAGAAGCAATTAATATTATCCTGTGTATCCATGCACATTAGGTACTGTAGTCTAGAGGCATTTTTTGAAGTTCAGTGTTTAGAGGCAGAAAATAACCCTTCTGTTTTGTGTTTTTGAGAGCATTTTTTCTGGCAGGAAAAACAACTATAAAACACTCCTAAAATGATCCTAAACACTAGTACACAAAAAAAAAATGCCCAATATTAGTGTTTTTTTTTTCTGCCAAGAGCCAGTGTGAATTAAAGTGTGTGATAAAGAGACCCTCTAAGACAGCAGAAGAAAAAAAAAACTAAAAAAATTAACCAACTTGGACTAGTTGGACATATGTCATGTAAACTATCTAGACAAAATATTTCACTTGTGACTTTGGTCTTGGATTTGTATATATCAGAAAACTGGCCCTGCAGATTGTTATATGAATTTGCACAGAAAATGTATATTATATGCATTTATGTATTTCTTTAACCAGAACACAAAACAGTTCAAGCATTACACTAGTTTAATCACCTTGTATATTCCTCCAGACTGAGGCTGGCGTGCAGTCCACTCTTCATCCATGCCTTCACAGGCTGATGTCACATACATCTCTGAATAGTCTTTTCCTCCAAAACAGCAAGAGGTCGTCTTATCCACTGGAAGCTTTACAGTCTGGATCACCGTCCCTACAATACAGATTGGAAAGTTTGCCTCCAGAGCATGAAAACAGTATATGGCAGAAAATTAAGTTTATAACATTATAATGGAAATTGTTATTTATATATATATATATATATATATATATATATATATATATGTGTTTATTTATATTATATACACATACACACACAGTATATCTCATACCAGCCTCAGGGTCTATGCGAATAACACGTCCTCCATTATAGCAGGCAACCCACAGTTTCCCTTCTGAGTCTATGCACATGCCATCTGGAATACCTTCATCCTTCTGTAATGCGTAGACATTGCGTCTGTTTGCTGTGCAAACAAAACAGATTTTGAGATTCATATTGCATTGTGGCTTTTTTTTTTTAATTAAACTTAACAAGATTGCTATCTTTGTTGATCAAGGGTTACCAGAGTTGTTTCTACAGTTGGGATTGTTTTTTTTATGCAAGATTAATTTATATGTTTCCAACATATTAGGTATTATATTGTTTGTGTGCACAAAGCCTGCATTTGGTAAACAATTGCTCAAAAATTGGGCAACATGAAAAATTGCAACTGCCACCATTATATTCACCAGGTTCTTCTTTCAGAAAATGTATAACTGTTTGGGGTTCAAAGTATTTTTCTAGTACAAAATGCAGATTTTAATATGTGAATTTTTTGTTTTTAAACTGGTCCTAAATAAAAAAAAAAATACATGCCCTAGATATGTATGAATATTGCCCTGTTTACAGATCTAATGGATTACTATGGTGTTCATTAAGATTTAGTGGTTTGCTTGGAGTTCTACCTTAAAGAGAAAAATACAATTTCTACACTGTAAAAGGACACAATATACTCTTACAGCACAGGGGATAGAGCTATGCAGCACTGATTAGATTACAAATTAGAAATAAAAACTTACATGTTTTTCCAGTTTTCACATCATAATCTAATGCATCCACAGCAAAGGAAAGGCTGTCTATGTAGTAGAGGGTTTTGTGATCCAAAGACCAGTCTATCCCATTAGAGATGTCAACCATATCAAAGTGCTTCACTACAGAGTGGTCAGGGTACAGGGTATACAATGAGCCTTGGTTTCTTTCTACGACTGCAGGGCGGATTTCCTGAGACATAGTCCCTAGGAAAAAGTAACACTAATTAACAAAGCTAACATATTTATTAACACACTCCAGGTAAACGTGTTCATTATTTCTGGTACTTCATTATTTACAAGCAGTGCATTCTTACTGGAGAAATGCACTGTGTGCCATTACTGACATTCCCTTTTAAATATGTGACTTGTCTAGCTGCCGTGATCACATTTCACTCTGCTGTTTTCAGTCAGTGACCTGGAACAGTACAGAGGTAAGACATTCTTATTTTTCAGACTGCTGCAAGTTTATTTCAGGTTTGACAATTAAAACACTCCATAGTTAAGCAACTAGCATTGTCAGAGGAAGACTAACAATAGCAGGTCCAATATTTCTCTTTTGAAAGGTATACTTAAAGTGGTTGTAAAGGCTCAATGTTTTTCTTTATACATGAAGGTAAAAAGCCTTCTGTGTGCAGCAGTGCCCCCAGCCCCCTCAATACTTAACTGAGCCTCATCGAGATCCATTGATGTGCACCACAGCCTTGGCTGTCCCAGGGGTCTCTGCCTTATCATTGACTGAGACAGCAAGCAGGAGCCTTTGGCTCCTGCTGCTGTCAATCATAGCCAGTCAGCCAATTAGGAGAGAGGGGGCGGGGCCAAGCCACATCTCCGTGTGTCCATTCGCACATGGAGATGCGGCTTGGCCTACCCCCTCTCCTCATTGGCGGACTGGCTGTGATTGACAGCAGCGGGAGCCAATGGCAGCAGACGTACCATATAGCAAGCTGCTTGCTCTGGGGGCACCTGACAGGAGGGAGGGGCCAGGAGAGCCTGAGGGGGACCCGTAAAGAAGAGGATCCAGGTTGCTCTATGCAAAACTACTGCACACAGCAGGTAAGTATAACATGTTTGTTATTTAAAAAAAAAAAAATATATGAACCTTTAGAATCGCTTTAAGGGTCCATGCACACTAGGCAGCAGAAAGTGCCAGAACTGCTGGCAGAAAAAAAGCTGAATAAAAACCGTTCCTATGGAGCATATTGTACATGCGTTTAGGCACATTTAGGCGCTTTTACTTACCTATGGTTTATAAGCATTTTCCCCAAAAACACAAAAAAAAAAAAAATTACACTTATAAACACTTGACACTGTGTTTAGGCGCATCAGGCTTTTTTGTGCTCAAAGACTCCTTTCAGAAATTTGATGGGGTTTTTTTTCCCAGCCTGTAAACCCAGTGCATCCAGAAGTATTCACAGCGCTAAACTTTTGCCACATTTTGTTATGTTACAGCCTTATTCCAAAATGGATTAAATTATTTTTTTCCTCAACATTCTACAAACAATACCCCATAATGACAACGTAAAAGAAGTTTGTTTTTTATTCTTTGCAATTTACTAAAACTACAAAAATAAAAAAAAACACATGTACATAGGTATTCACAGCCTTTGCTCAATACTTTGTTGAAGCACCTTTAGCACCAATTACAGCCTCAAGTTGTTCTTTTTTTAGTATGATGCTACAAGCTTGGCACACCTATTTTTGGGCAGTGTCTCCCATTCTTCTTTGCAGTACCTCTCAAGCTCCATCAGGTTGGATGGGGAGAGTAGGTGCACAGCCATTTTCAAATCTCTCCAGAGATGTTCAATTGGGTTCAAGTCTGGGCTCTGGTTCAACCACTCCATGACATTCACAGAGTTGGCCCATAGCCACTCCTTTGTTATGTGGCTGTGTGCATAGGGTCGTTGTGCTGTTGAAAGATGAACCGTCGCCCCAGACTAAGGTCCAGAGCACTCTTGAAGAGGTTTTCATCAAGGATGTCTCTGTACCAGGGGTGGACTGACCATTTGAGAACTCGGGCACTGCCTGAGGGCCCGGGGTCAGTAGTGGGCCCCATGAGATGCCCCTGGTACCATTTTTCATAGGCTTTTTTGAGTTTGGGCAAGGACACAGGGGCCCCACGATCCCCTATTGTCCCAGGGGCCCCATGAGTTTTCAGTCCGCCCCTGCTCTGTACATTGCTGCATTCATCTTTCTTTCAATCCTGACTAGCCTCCCAGTTCCTGCCACTGAAAAACATCCTCACAGCATGATGCTGCCACCACCATGCTTCACTGTAGGGATGGTATTGGCCAGGTGGTGAGCGGTGCCTGGTTTCCTCCAGACATGACGCTTCGCATTCAGGCCAGAGTTCAATATTTGTTTCATCAGACCAGAGAGTTTTGTTTCTCATGGTCTGAGACTCCCTCAGGTGCATTTTGGCAAACTCCAGGCGGATGCCATTTGCCTTTTACTGAGGAGTGGCTTCCGTCTGGCCACTTGAGTGCTTGGTTACCTCCCTGGCTAAGCCCCTTCTCCCTTGATCACTCATTTTGTCCTGGCAGCCTGCTCTAGGAAGATTCCAGGTGGTTCCAAACTTCAAATGAAGGCCACTGTGCTCATTGGGACCTTCAATGCTGCAGACATTTTTCTGTACCCCTCACCAGAGCTGTGCCTTGATACAATCCTGTCTCGGAGGTCTACGGACAATTCCTTGGACCTCATGGCTTGGTTTGTGCTCTGACAAGCACTGTTAACTGTGGGACCTTATATAGACAGGTTTATGCCTTTACTAATCATATCCAATTGAATTTCCCACAGGTGGACTCCAATCAAGTTGTGGAAACATCTCAAGGATGATCAGTGGGAACAAGATGCACCAGAGCTCAATTTTGAGTGTCATTTCAGAGGCTGTGAATACTTATGTACATGTGGTTTTTGTTTCATTTTTTATTTTTAATAAATTGCAAAGATTTCAAAACAAACTTCTTTCACATTGTCATTATGGGGTATTGTTTGTAGAATGTTAAGGAAAAAAATTAATTGAATCCATTTTGGAATAAGGCTGTAACATAACAAAATGTGGCAAAAGTGCTGTGAATACTTTCTGTATGCTCTGTATGCCTATAAATGCTCACTTAGGGGGTTATTTATTAAAATTGGAGTGTGGAAAATCTGGTACAGCTCTGCATAGAAACCAATCAGCTTCCAGGCTTTATTGTCAAAGCCTAATTGAACAAGCTGAAGTTAGAAGCTGATTGGCTACCACGAATAGCTGCTCCATATTCTGGTTTGTGTGCAACAGTTTGAGTATATCTCCACCATAGGCTAACATAGAGTTGCTTCTACTGGCTTAAAGTAAAAACTCTCCAAACACTTGTATGAGCAAGTGCATCCATTATGGTGCATTCTATATTTAGAGGAAAAGAATTACATTTCTTTGGATGATTTAATAAAGTATTTTTATTGTCAACGTTTCGATGAAGCTCAGCCCATCTTTCTCAAGACACTATACCATGGAAGTGAACAGACTAATAAACCCAAAGTCCCACCCACCAACAACACCCTCTAGTGATGACCTCACAGAGTGCAAGGTTAAAAGACACATACAGGGAAAAGGTAAAAAAAAAAAAAAAACATCGCAAAAGGAATAAAACACAACAATTCATCAAAAAAAAAAGCCAAATATACAAAATCCTAGCTGAAATCAAGCTATCAAAAATAGCTCCTACATAAAAATGACAAATTGCAAAAAAAGCGAAACAAAGCAGGTAATGAATACTCAACAGATGGCTGGCGCAGCACATGAACCATCCATAATAAGTACCATCAAAAAATACTAAACCAAAAAGTGATATGCTAGGACCAGGGGCGGGCTGACAACTCATGGGGCCCCTGGGCAATAGGGATCATGAGGCCCCTGTGTCCTTGCCCAAACTCAAAAAAAAGCCTATTAAATAGGTACCAGGAGCATCTCATGGGGCCCCCTACTGACCCTGGGTCCTCGGGCAGTGCCCGAGTTTCCAAATGGTCAGTCCGCCCCTGGCTAGGACAACAAAGCAATAAATAAAAAAAATGACCAACTAGCCATAAAAATACTACCCAAGACCAAACACCCCACATGTGCCAAAAATAAAAAATTATAGGAGTGTGAATAGCATCCCAAATAAGACCATAAATCCACAGAAAACACCAACAGTGTACAAAAACAGGAATACATACAAATGTACGTATTATAAATCAATATTCCACTACCAGATAGAAGAAACCAGAGGACTCAGCTATATAAATAGTTGCAAAGGAGGAAGGAGGGTGAGAACCCTAAGACTAACACCACTAAGTGAAAAACATATCATCCGAAACAGGAGGAGTAAATGTGGAAACCTAGTGAGGTTCCAATGAAAGAAAAAGGGTCTGGACACCCAAAACACCACACAGAAGAATCAGTCTAGTATAGCACCTAAATAGCACAAAATGACATAGATCCGCAAAAAAACACAGACAGTGCACAAAAATAAGAATACGTACAACGTACATAATACAAATCAATATTTCACAACAGAAATAAGAAACCTGAGGATTCAGATATATGAATGGAGGAATGATGGTGGGAACCCTAGGACTACCACCACTAGGAAAAAAAAACATACCATCAAAAGCAGGAGGAGTGAGTATGGAAACCAAGTGAGGTTTCTATTAAAGAAAAAGGGTTTGGGTGTCCAAACTCTTTTTACGGCATATCCACTGGTTAGGATAGCTTATAGCACTCTCAGTGTTAAATTTGGTGTGGCGCTTAATGAACGTTTAATAGGCAGTAAGAGCTAGCTTCTCCTAGTTATTCTATGTTGAATAATTAGGAAGAATCCAGTATTTTATCATGTATAAAAAGCACTTCAACTAACATGTGTCCTCATAAGCATAATTATTCTAATGATTTGTATGTATGGCTATTGAAGAACTGTAAGCAGTACACTAAGAGCAGAATGCTGAAAATAGACTGCTTAAAAATGTGTCCCTCCATATACATATCATCTAAGTTCTCCACTTGCTCTGCTGGTTCCCAGTAAAATGAAGATTTTGATTTGAGAATTGCCTGCAGTTTTAAATTGCAAAAAAAAAACGGACCTACATATTTGGATGATGTAATGAAATGATTCACCCCTGCTTATTTCCTTCCTTCCCTTAAGAAAAGAAACCTGGTCTATAATAGCATCCACCTAAAATACCGCTCTTAGGGCTCGTTCACACTAGGTGTTTTGCCAACGCTTGCCAAATGCCCCTATAGCGATTGGCAAGCGTTGGTCCGGTGTTTGCGGAGCGTTTTTAACGCTCGGCAAACGCTCCGCAAACGCCGCATGTGCGGTTTAGCGGCGGTTGCTAGGCGTTTGCCGAGCATTAATAACGCCCCACAAACGCCTATAATGCATTTGAGTGGTGTTACCGCTCCGCAAACGCCCCGCAAACGCACCGCAAACGCCGGCCGGGCGTTTGCGGAGCGGCACCATAGACGAGAATAGGAGGCTTCAAAGCCTCCTGACTCGACCAGAGGCGTCCGTTTTGCCGCGACGCGACGCAAACGCACCTGTTAGAACAACACCATGTGCTGTAATGTGCAGAGTTGGCAGAGGCGTTTGGGAAGCGGTAAAAACGCTTCCCAAACGCCTCTCTGCCGCCTGCACACAAGGCTAGTGTGAACGTAGCCTTACACTCTGCTCCAACCAAGGTTCATCCCTCAGCATTCCATATTTGAAAACATACAAAAGCCCTACGTGTTTATTCAACCTATATGACTCTGTATCTGTTTAAAATACTGTTCCTGCTTTAACAATATTCTATACAGGAATTTGATTGCTTGGGTGAAGAGAACTTTAAATTATTTTTATTTATTATTATTGTTATTATTATTAGTAGTAGTAGTACTATCATTATCATATTCAAATATACCTTGAGAATGATACTTGTATCTGGAAAATAAAATATTATGATTATTACAATATGCTAGCATTTTCTTTGGAGATTGATGCCATATATAATAAAATTGGTTTTAAGAAGAAGCTTTAAAGGAGAAGTATGGCCAAAAAACACCTTGTCCATACATGTCTTTTAAAATATTGACAGCTAGTTGACTTGGATATAACATGTATGAGGATGTCCTGGTTCAAATAAGACAAGTAAATATAAAATGAAAAAAAGTTGTACTTAAAGGTACAACCTTTAAAAAAAATAATACATATTTTTTTCAGGTAAAAAAAATGTGCATTTATTATTTTATTTCTTGGGGTCTTTAAAGCCATGCACCCACGATTAGCAGATCATGGGTGCAATGTCAGGCTCTTGCAGACTATCAGTACACTGTCTGCCTATGCCTCCCATACTGAAATCCAGGAAGCTCAAAGGACTAAGAGCTCTCATCAATGCCCTCGCAGATCATTGAGATCTACAAGCCATCAGCAGCAATGGATAATGGTAGTTGTAGGTATTCATTCACAGAACTCTGTGCATGAATGAGTCCACTGTGTGGGCGGAGCCCCACACAGCCACACTATTTTTATATTGTGACAGCGGGTGCAGAGAGAAGGTCCCGGCCCACTGTCACAAGGAGGGGGTGGATCGGGAAGTGAGGTGGTGGATGCTCAACATGTTACATGCTACACCCTAAATATGGGTGGAACATGTAACATGTTGAAAAAGGTGAACTTATCCTTCAATTTAAATGCGGCTTTAAGGCAGCTTCAGTTAAGAGATATCTCTTTACTAAAGCAATTGTCTGAAGACTCAGACAATTGCTGCCAAAATACAAGGCCACGTACTAACTGTGGGACAATGAATCTGAAAATGTTCAGCTTGAGTATGAGTTCTAATCACTCAGGCTTACTCTGTGGCCTGGGAGACGTTGCTTCCATTGTGTTATGTAATTTAATGCTTAAAATTATCATTTAAAAACACAAGCTTGCCGCAACTCACAGCTGAATGCCTTACCAAATTATACGGTAAACCATTTATTATCAAAAGCAACACAACATAGGGTACACTCACTGGGAAGATCGCTGAAAAAGCCCCTAAAAAGTTTGTAATAAAAAACAGTCACCGGGTTATGGAGTATAAAGTGTAAAAGTATAATTTCCAAGATGCCTTAAATGATCATGAATTGTTGCAGCAAACACATAAATCAGGAAAATTTGAAAAACTATAAACAGACGAGAATAAAAGCAGTGTGCTAGATTGAGCAGATAAGACAAAGAGCTATGATTTGCCAGATATACATGGCAAATCATAGCTCTTTGTGAATAGTCTTTAAATCTTTTGTGAGAGCAATTCTATTTGTAAATGTTATAACTAGTAAATGTCTTATTTGCACGATCTAGTACACTTTCACTTTTTTCTTGTTTGTGGCTACAGTTTTGATCAATAGTTCAATATGTATAAGAAACTTAAAAAAATACCTGCAAAAAATCTTCCTTCAGGGTCAACTTTTCCATCATTAAAACGATTATTGGGCTTGTCTTCATCAACTTGGGCAAGAGTAGTTACTGACTGGTCTTCCCAATTCAGAGCAGCAAAGGTGGTGCCTGTGGCAATCACATAGCCACCTGACTTCCGAAGTCCAACAGAGCCAACTGGTTCCTCTACAAATGGAATACAAGGCATGAATCAATCACTAAAAAAAAAAATAAAATGTAAGATTAACAACTTCCAGTCCGGACACTTTTACCCACTTCCTGTCCAGGCCAATTTTCTGCTTTCAGCGCTATCACACTTTGAATGACAATTGTGCGGTCATGCAACACTGTACCCATATGCATTTTTTAGCATTTTTTTGAGACAGATAAAGCTTTATTTTGGTGGTATTTATTCACCACTGGGATTTTTATTTTTTTTGCTATATAAATGAAAAAGTCCAAAAATTTTGAAAAAAGGGGTTTTCTTATACAATTTTTGCAAATAAATAATATTTCATCATAAATCTTGGTCAGAATGTATTCAGTTATCTTTTTAGTAAAAAAAAATAACCCAAATTAGTTTATAACCAAAAATTATAATTTTTTTTTTTTTATATATTATGTTTTTTTTTCTACATACTGTCACCCTAGCAGTACAGTGTTACTTGTGGGGGGTGATGAAGATTTTTTTTTTTTTTTACACTGATCGCTTTTACACTCATAAAGGCTGTAAAAGCAATCATTTCTCCTTCTCTTGCAGACATTGAGTACTACTGTGTGAGCTGTGATTGGTCACAGCTTGTCACATGGTACAAGGCTGTTGTGAATAGCCTTATACCATGTGACCTCTGTGATCATTCACAGATTTCACAAGTAGTAAGCAATGATGTCAGAAGTGACATCTTGTTTACTACTCTGCATGTGATCACTGATTGGCCAATCAGTGATCACATGAACGGAACCTCGCACAGAGGTCCCGTACGACGATTGGTGTTCCACTGTGTCCGTTTATGAACGGAAACCTGCCCCTGGACTGCCTCCTTCCGGCCGTTTATATACAGCAGCCGGACGGTAAGTGGTTAAGTAGGACCTAATGATTGCTGTACACCAGGGCCCCTGACCTCCACCGTGTTGCAGACTTCGATAAACTTCTAATGAAAGTGCTAAAATACCTATAACCAGGATTGGGTTCAGATGACCAGCTTCTTACTCACCACCACCTTTTTCCTCCACAGCTTCCACACTGATTAGCCTGCCTCTGTCTGAGCAGCTAATTAATGCCTCTGCTTCAGCACCCAATAAGTGCCTCGCACAGATCCCAGACTTAGCACATTTATTATGAGCTTTAGATAGGAGGCTACAGTAAAATCAGACATTAAGTCAGCTTTGATCATACATAACTCATCCACAATTTCAGTTTGCCTATTGTGATATTTTGATGTTTTCTACAAAACTTGTAAACCACCAATACACATTTCTCAACACAGACACACCTATATGGAGAATTCCTGGATCCTCTGGTTTCCTTTTATTATTCAAATACTGGTAAATCACACAGTTTTCCCCAAAAGGAAATATTTTATACATTGGATAAATGGGGAAAAGTTAACAATTCCCTTAACACACGTGGGATGTGGACAGTGTCTTGACAGCTAGGCATGCACAGCAATAAAAAACATCAGAAGTTCTAACCCCCTAAGGTACTTTTCTGAAAGCAACATAGTAACAATATTTATTTATTTTATTTCAGGTACTTATATATGGCTGTCAATTTACGCAGCGCTTTTACATATATATACACAGTTGCAAGAAAAAGTATGTGAACCCCTTGGGATTACGTGGAGTTTTTTGCATGAATTGGGCATAAAATGTGCTCTGAACGTCATCTAAGTCACAACAATAGAAGAACACAGTCTGCACTGTGAATGTTTACATGTTATGTGCAATTAAACCATGGCAACATCTATTGTTTGTGTAGTATTATGTTCAGCAGACTGTGTTCTTCTATTATTGTGACTTAGATGACGTTCAGAGCACATTTTATGCCCAATTCATGCAAAACTCCACGTAATCCCAAGGGGTTCACATACTTTTTCTTGCAACTGTATTTTACATTCACATCAAACCCTACCCTCAAGGGGCGTACAATCTAAGGTCCCTAACTTACACATACTAGGGCCAATTTAGACAGGATCCAATTCACCTACCAGCATGTCTTTGGAGTGTGGGAGGAAACCGGAGTACCCAGAGGCAACCCACGCAGGCACAGGGAGAACATGCAAACTCCAGGCAGAGGTGCCGTGGCTGGGATTCGAACCAACAACCCTAGTACTGCCAGGTGGGAGAGCTAACCATTTAGCCACTGTGCTGACAATAAGCCTATAATTAACACCCACCTACTGTATATACCTCAATGTAACCCATAGTAAACTGTGTAACGTTCCCCACTCCATAATGTCTTAGCACTTACAAAATAACCAAAAATCAACAGGGAAAAGCATAGAAAAATAAAAAAAAACGTGAAAATTAGTGCTATAAAGTGTAATAAATACCGCCCTCAAAAAAAAAAAAAAAAAAGAAAAGAAAAAGGTGCCCTGAATGTCCCTTTGCAGAGACAATCCACCTGCAGAAAAGCAGTTTAAAAAGTAAAATACTTTGTTTCTTCAATACCAGATCACGAAGAGTGTCAGGTGATGAACTTCACTACATGAGTACTGGGCAAGGGTGAGCTGACATTACTTGGCCAGATCCTATCCTTTTTCCTACATCAAAATTTGGCAAATTTCAGTTTGAGTTGGAGACGTTCAATTTGAGTAGAGTCCAAAGCAGAAATAACAGTTCAACACTGAACTACACAAACTAATTTGATATCCCATGACACCATTTAAGGTAACCAGTGCATTTATACCATATAGAAATTACCCCTCTATTGAGACCATCAAGTATCACACACATGGGGGAATTAATAGGAAAAGACAATACTTTGAGTAAAGAGGAATTTTCAGCATTGAAATCATTAAAGAACGATAACACTATCATCATAAAACCAACTGACAATGGGAAACACTTGTCATTATGAACTATAAAGGCTATAAAGTTGGGATGGTAAATCTTTTGTCTCATTGGATCCTGTTACACATATTCAAAAAAAGTTCTGAACGGAGCTCCATAGCAAAGAATCGCCAAAGGATTACAGAGGATATTGCCAATTACCTTTACTTGGAACATCCAACACTCCCAGTGTTATACGGCCTCCTCAAGGTACACAAGATATTCAGTTCTCCATCTTTCATGCCCATAGTCTCTGGAAATCATTCCATCACTCATCCCTCATGAATACATTGACAAATTCTTACTATCGCTGGTACAAGCATTGCTTTCATACACACGTGATATTTGACATTTTCATGAAAAATCTGCTGTGATTGACAGCTTTGAAGCAAATTTCTAACTGCAGACTTCTAACAATCAACATTTAGTACACTTTATTCTCACTAATTTTGGTTTGAAGGCTGTTAAACACCTTTTGTTGTGCAGGACAGATGTTACTGTATCCTCCCAATTTATTTTGGAAGGCTTCTCTTTGGTTTTAGACAATAACTACTTTAGGTTTGAGAAACAATACTATTCAGACACCCTCTTATGCAAATGTGTTTCTTGGATACTTGGAGAAAATTTCCTGTACATCTTCCACAAAACTTTAACTATGAAATTCCATTTCTTGATGTTACGGTATTAGTCACTGGTGATCACCAACAAACTACACTTTACACCTATAGATGGGAACACACACTCCTAAGGCTGGCCATACATTATAAAATTATCTTGTACAATCTTCTTTAGATTTTCCTTCAACTATGTAGTGCAAGGGCCTGTCTGATTGGATACAAATTGAAAGTGTTGTTTAGGTTTGACCTCATATTATATGGTTTTTGGCAAATCTAAAGGAATTTTTTACAGGAAAACTATATAACAGAGTGCATACCCCAGTAATTTGAAAGACAACTCACCGATCTCACAATTCTTCAGGGCAACCTCTCAGTGTGATTTATTTTTACATTTCAGCTGTATGGGCTGAAGGCCACTGTTGGCTGACATCATTCAGCCGGTCCAGACCTGGAAGAGATCCTGACTTTAAAGTTGGGATCCACTCAGATCCATGGACCGGCACCTGGCTCAGCCTCTCAGCGATCCGCTGAGAGCTTGAGCCAGCCACTTCCTCCCCCTCCACAGCCCGGAGATCCAGTGGGCATGGGGAGGAGCAAAGCAGAGAGCGGTAACTGACAGTCAGCAGCTCTCTGCTCATGGAGCATTGAGAAATTAGTAATCAGCGGTCTTTGATTGCTCATTTCCCAGTGTTAGAGACACCGGAGGACCGATGCTGCATCCACCTAGGTATGTATAATTTCTAAAAATAAAAAAAACCCTAAACCACTCTTTTAATACAGTTAACCCTAAGAGTTTGGAACATATCATTCACATATACAGTATCTCACAGAAGTAAGTACACCCCTCATATTTTTGTAAATATTTTATTCTGTCTTTTCATGTGACAACACTGAAGAAATTACACTTTGCTACAATGTAAAGTAGTGAGTGTACAGCTTGTATAACAGTGTAAATTTGCTGTCCCATCAAAATAACTCAACACAGCCATTAATGTCTAAACCGCTGGCAACAAAAGTGAGTACACCCCCTAAGTGACAATGTCCAAATTGGGCCCAAAGTGTCAATATTTTGTGTGGCCACCATTATTTTCCAGCACTGCCTTAACCCTCTTGGGCATAGAGTTCACCATAGCTTCACAGGTTGCCACTGGAGTCCTCTTCCACTCATCCATGTCGACATCACAGAGCTGGTGGATGGTGGAGACCTTACGCTCCTCCACCTTCCCTTTGAGGATTCCCCACAGATGCTCAATAGGGTTTAGGTCTAGAGACATGCTTCGCCAGTCCATCACCTTTACCCTCAGATTCTTTAGCAAGGCAGTGCTCATCTTGGAGGTGTGTTTGGGGTCGTTATGTTGGAATACTGCACTGCGGCCCAGTCTCCGAAGGGAAGGGATCATGCTCGGCTTCAGTATGTCACAGTACATGTTGGTATTCATGGTTCCCTCAATGAACTGTAGCTCCCCAGTGCCGGCAGCACTCATGCAGCCCCAGACACTCCCACCACCATGCTTGACTGTAGGCAAGACACATTTGTCTTTGTACTCCTCCCCTGGTTGCCGCCACACACGCTTGACACCATCTGAACAAAGTAAGTTTATCTTGGTCTCATCAGACCACAGGACATGGTTCCGGTAATCCATGTCCTTAGTCTGCTTGTCTTCACCAAACTGTTTGTGGGCTTTCTTGTCCATCATCTTTAGAAGAGGCTTCCTTCTGGGACTACAGCCATGCAGACCAATTTGATGCAGTGTGCGGTGTATGGTCTGAGCACTGACAGGCTGACCCCCCACCCCTTCAACCGCTGCAGTAATGCTAGCAGCACTCATACGTCTATTTCCCAAAGACAACCTCTGGATATGACGCTGAGCACGTGCACTCAACTTCTTTGGTCGACCATGGCGAGGCCTGTTCTGAGGGGAACCTGTCCTGTTATACTGCTGTATGGTCTTGGCCACCGTGCTGCAGCTCAGTTTCAGGGTCTTGGCAATCTTCTTATAGCCTACGCCATCTTTATGTTGAGCAACAATTCTTTTCAGATCCTCAGAGAGTTCTTTGCAATGAGGTGCCATGTTGAACTTCCAGTGACCAGTGTGAGAGAGTGAGAGCGATAACACCAAATTTAACACACCTGCTCCCCATTCACACCTGAGACCTTGTAACACTAACGAGTCCCATGACATTGGGGAGAGAAAAAGGCTAATTGGGCCCAATTTGGACATTTTCATTTAGCGGTGTACTCACTTTTGTTTCCAGCGGTTTAGACATTAATAGGTGTGTGTTGAGTTATTTTGAGGGGACAGCAAATTTACACTGTTATACAAGCTGTACACTCACTACTTTACATTGTAGCAAAGTGTCATTTCTTCAGTGTTGTCACATGAAAAGATAGAATAAAATGTTTACAAAAATGTGAGGGTGTGCTCACTTCTGTGAGATACTGTACATGTTTTCTTGATGACCAATGACCAACACCGCCAGGGATTCACTTTTTAGCTTGCAGCATTGCTGTTCCTTCTGTGTAAGTGGGCATTTATAAATTTCAGATACCAAAAGTTTGCTTTTGATCCTTGGGTATATTTATATTTTTCTGAAGGCGGTATTTAGCATACTTTATAGCTCTACTTTTTTACTCTTTGTTTTCTTGCTTATCCCTGTTGTTTTCTAGTGAGATTATGAAGTCATGGGGGTGAGAGGGTGTTACACAGGTTACTATGGGTTATACCAGAATACACAGGTGTGTGTTAGGTACATGCTAATTGTTACCATGGTGCCTTGGGACATAGATCCTGCGAGGCTCTGAAACTTTGGTTTCTTTTGCCTCATGTGATGCTGTCTTACATGTGAAAGGCATTATGTGGAGTGCTGGTGACTTTGCCTCTTTGCATTGGTGTTCTGGCATGATGCCATCCATGACATTCACTTTGAGAACCCATCATTACAAGAGTATCTTGAGGTGTGCAGCTTCTTTTTAGACTTTATAGAAGTTCTAAGGCCTCATTCACAAGGGCATTAGGCCCACAGTCTGTGAAAGGGCTGTGTGTTTATGCACCTTCAGCTATGAGTGTTTGGGGGGTGCAGTGGCTGCTTGAACACAGCTGCTCCTCCCAATTTGACAGATGTGCAGGTGCAGGCAAGTGGTCCCCTAATGCAAAAATGGTGCATTTGGGGATTCTTACCCACACTCTTGACAAATTAGGATAGGTGGCTGTGCAGCAGCTGCATCTCCATGCACTTACATGTGCTGCCTGCACATAAACTGCATAAACACAAGGTCCACCCTCAAACTAGGGGCCTAAATGCCTGTAAATGAGGCCTAACCCTTCTTCACCTTTGTAAAAAGCATTTTTTAGTGTGTTTCTGTTGAAAAGATTTACCATAATTTCCTGTCATGATGAGCAATTAGGGGGAAATCTTCCCAATAAAAACCTGATAGAGGTTTTTACCCTGTCCTGCTCTATGAAAAACAAAATAAAAGTTTTAGCTGATTTTGGGTTTAATGTCTTTTGTAAAGTGCTACAGGTATATGTCTGTGTGTACTATATGAACTCAACTTACTTAGATTCACTGTCTGTACTATTTTAGTGTTGGGGTTCCACCGGCAGACCTTCTGTCCTGTAATGTCAACGTACACCAACACTCCTTCTTTATCTTCCCAAAACAGGAGACTCTCCAATCTTGTACTTTTCAGTGACAACACATTCTATCTTGATGGATGACATGCTTCTATAAAATAAGAATAATAACTAGATTAGGTATTTATCGAATAAGGATTTACAGCATGTTTATAAAATTCTGGTAAACATAGCCACATTTGCAGATGTTTTCAAGTGTTAAACGCAAAGTTGATGAATGTTGGTAAAGATTTCAATCGTCTCCAAAAAAAAAAAAAAAATCAAACTCCAAAGGTAAGTTTATTAAATTAAAAAAACAAAAATATAATAAGCAACAGGGTATACAGCGTTGGATGCATAATACAGGTTCTACAGAATCAAAGAAAAAACAGATAGCAAGGACTACAAATATTTGTATACAATCCCATCAGTGGTACAATACAAAACTAAACAACCTAGCTGTGAATATACTGGGGAAGTCCCAATCTCAGGTGGCAAGCTAAATGCATATAACTTAGAACCCACATCCCCAAAGAGAAAGTACAGAAAAGGGTATAGGGTACCCCAATATTGCAGTAGCCTAAATCTCAATGTCCCCAGATATGGAGAAAGTCCAGGTAGACCAAATTCTATCAAATTTACGTAGACAACCTCTAGTAGTGTAGGTCAGTTTATACATAAGTAAGGCCTCAGTGACCAACCTAACCCACATTTGTAAAGTAGGAGTTTCAGGTTTTTGCTCAATAGCACAGGCAAACAACAAGGGGGTGAGTGGACACCCCTGTCGAATACCATGATGCATAGGGAAGGGTTCCATAACCTGATTATTGACCAGCAAATGTGCCATAAGGTGAGTTTGACCAATGAGATAAAGGTAGTGCCAAATCCCAACTGTTCAAGTGATACCACAATCCTAGTATCAGGGCCATCAGAAGTTATTTGTAAGTTAGTAAATAAACTGCGTAAATTAATGGCCATAGAGCTGCCGGGTATAAAATCCATCTGGTCTGAATGTGTAAGGGCATCAATCACTGAATTCAGTAGAGACACTGCATACTTACCTCTCTGACCAGCAGCAAGTCCAAAATACTCTCTTTAAGCAGGATACCCTTAGGCAAAGTCTTTAGCATTTGACACTTCCTGAAAGTGTTGAAATGCCCTTGTCCCCCGCTGCATGCTGTGGTACTTCCCACTGCCTATACCTCTCAACAGGACTCAGTAGTGATGTACTAGACAGTGGAAGGAATCACTGAGCACAACGGAGCATGCAGCAAGGACTCCATGAAGCGTCAAATGTTGAAAACTTGTAAGGAGGCTGTACTGCCTAAAGAGAGCAGAGTTTGGTCTAATTTCCCACTAGAAAGGTAAGAATTCTGTGTTTTTTTTTATTGCAGAACAATTCTTTATTTTTTTTTCTTTTTTGAAAAGCAACACAATCACTTTAATGTACAGTAGAAGGTTATTTTGGTGATCCTGCTGTGAATCGTGATAAATGTCAAAGGATGTGAAGGGTTTTATTTCCTCTGTCAAGGTCATGGATGGCACAGGAACTGACAATTACAGGCTGTATAGAAAATCACAAAATTGTAGAATTAAACTTTCATAGATCAACACGAAAAAAAGCAATCCAAGTGAAGAATGCACCTATTCACAAGCCAGCCCTCTGGCATCTTTCCTCGTTCGAACTTGTAGAGGGCTGACTAATGTCAGACAAAGCAGTGGAAACATCTGGGAAATGCACAGTTCATACTCATAATAAGCAAGTTGGAACAACATACTATCTTGACATTGTGGGAGTAGAGAGACTGCCTATATCAGTCCAGTTCCTCTTCACTGCAACTTCTTCTTATTATACAGTATTTCTAAAGCGCCAATAGTTCGCTCAGCGCTGTACATTACAAAGAGGGACAGAACATCTGACAGAACAATAACAATACAATGCAAAACATGAGGGGATTGAGGGCCCTGCTCTTTCGAGCTAACAATCTAGGAGGGAGGGGATGGTGGCACAGGAGGAGATAGCTGTAAGGGAGGGAGTGGTAGGAAGAGTGGAGGAGGTCGGCAAGTTAGCAGGGGGTGGAGTAGGCTTCCCTAAAGAGGTGGGTTTTCAGGGTGCGCCTAAACGAGAGGAGAGTAGGTGATAATCTGATGGGTTGGGGCAGGGAGTTCCAGAGGATGGGTGACACCCTGGAGAAGTCCTGGAGGTGGGCATGGGAGGAGGAGACCAGGGAACTAGAGAGAAGGAGGTCTTGTGAGGAGCGGAGTGTGCGTGCTGGGCGGTACTTGGAGATTAGGTCAGTGATGTAGTTCGGGGCAGTATGGTGGACAGCTTTGTACGTCAGTGTTAGGATTTTGAATTTGATCCGTTGCGCAATCGGAAGCCAGTGGAGGGATCGGCAGAGGGGGGTGGCGGAAACGGAGCGGTTGGAAAGGTGAATGAGTCTGGCAGCCGTATTCAGGATGGACTGAAGCGGGGATAGCCAGCGGCGAGGCAGACCAGTGAGGAGGGAGTTGCAGTAGTCGAGTCGTGATATGATGAGGGAGTGGATGAGCTGTTTAGTGGTTTCTGGAGTTAGGAATGCACATATTTTGGCGATGTTGCGGAGGTGGAGCCTGCACGAGTTTGTTAAAGATTGGACTTGGGGCTGGAAGGATAGGTTGGAGTCCAGAATGACACCAAGTACACTGGCCTGCGGGGCGGGTTTGATAGTGGCCTTGTTGGATGTGATGGAGAAGTCAATGGGGGGTGGTGTCCGGGCTGGGGGGGAAGACAAGAAACTCGGATTTGGAGAGGTTCAGTTTAAGGAAGTGGAGTGACATCCAGTCTGATATGTCGCTCAGTAGGTGTGTGATTCGGGCAGAGACCGAGGGGGTGAGGTGGGGGGTTGAGAGATAGATTTGTGTGTCGTCAGCATAGAGGTGGTAGTTGAAACCGTGAGAGTGTATGAGTTGGCCAAGGGAGGAGGTGTAGATGGAGAAGAGAAGGAGCCCGAGGACAGAGCCTTGAGGGACCCCAACAGAGAGGGGGAGTGAGGGGGAGGTGGTAGCATTATAGGTAACGCTGAAAGAGCGTTGTGACAGGTAGGATGAGAGCCAGTGTAGTTATTTGAGGAGGAGGGGGTGGTCGACTGTGTCGAAGGCCGCAGAGAGGTCAAGCAGTAGGAGCACTGAATAGCGGCCATTAGCTTTAGCGGTTAGCAGGTTGTTGGAGAGTTTGAGTAAGGCAGTTTTGGTGGAGTGTAGGGGACGGAAGCCGGACTGTAGGGGATCGAGGAGGTTGTTGTCGTTGAGGTGAGAGCTTAGGCTGGTGTAGACTAGGCGCTCGAGTTTAGATGTAAATGGGAGCAGGGAGATGGGTCTGAGGTTGTTCGGGTCATTGGGGTCCAGGGAGGGCTTTTTAAGTATGGGGGTGATGTGTGCATGTTTCAGAGGGGAGGGGAAAGTGCCGGAGGAGAGGGAGAGATTGAAGATGTGGGTGAGGGAGCTTAGGATGGAGGGGGAGGGAGGTCGTAGGAGTTGTGAGGGGATAGGGTCAAGGGGGCAGGTGGTGAGGCGGGCATCAGAGAGGATCTTGGAGACTTCCTCGATGGTAGTAAGGTCAAAAGTGCAGAGTGTTGGGGGAGCTTCAGTATGAGGAATGTAGGGTGGGGTGGAAGTGGAGGTCAGAGCAGTTGTGGGGCCGTGGGAGAGGGGCGATGGGGGATGAGGGGGTAGCTGAGTGAGAGGGGATGGGTTGAGAGGGCGTGTGAGCAGGGGAGGTAGAGTCAGTGGCCTGGATCCAGGTTTCCGTAATCGCCAGGAGGTTGAGGGAGCGGGAAACAAAGAGGTCGTGGATGGCGGTAAGCTTGTTGCACACCGATCGGGCGTTTAGGAGTGCACATGAAAACGGGGGGGAGATTTTAGGGAGCAGAGGGACAGATACTAAGTTGCAGGGGTTGCGGCAGGACGTGGAGGCGGGAGGGTGTTGTGTGGGTGAGGGAGGTGGTGGAGGGTCAGGATTTGGGGAGATGTCCCCCGGGGTTAGGAGAGAGGAGAAGGGTGAAAAAGGTGGCATGGGAGCGGGATGTGCAGGAGCGTGAAAAACTACTAGTGGAGGTGTTCGGGTCAGTGGGAGAGTGGAGTAATAGGAGGAGGTGGTGGGTGCCGTAGAGGGGCGAAGGAAGCAGTGAGGACACAATATACAATTGTTTGGGTTGGGGCAGAGGGATATAGTGAATGGATTTTGGGAACGGAGGAGAGGAAAATGAGGAGTGGAACAGGCATTTTGGGGAGGCGATTAGAGCAGTAGTAGGGAGATGATAGCAATGGGGGGGGGGGGGGGATGTACAAGTTTTAGGGTGGAGCAGATGGGTAAAGAAATGAGATTTGGGAACATAGCGGAGTTTTGATGAATAAAAGCAGCCAGTGGCTCAATAGCAATGGCAAACAGGGGGGAAGTGTGCAAATGGAGTGAAATTAGACACTAATCAAAAGTTATCTTTTACCACTCTTTCATAGTTGCTTATTGGCAGCCAATTGTTTAGCTATGTTTGAAAATTGCCTCTAACCTCTCCTTCAGAATTCTAAAAAAGTTTGACTAACTCATACCAATAATGCATACTGTAAATTCTCAGACTATGGCATTTCCCACAAAGTGCAGCACTAAGGTTCTTTGTTCAAACCCCAACCAACACACTACCTGCATGTAGCTTGCAATCTCAAACTGTGCTTGGTTTCCTCCCACACTTCAAAAGACATACTGGTAGGTAGGAACCTTACTTGCATGGGGCTTCTGGGACTGATGTGAATGTACAGCATGTAGATTGTTAGCGCTACATAAATACCCATAATAAATACTATTAATAATTAGCAATTAATATAAGGGCAAAACCACCAGCAGTTAATACAACCAAGGCAGAGCCCTATTTCACCATATTTAAAGCGGAGCTCCACCCAAAAGGGGAAGTTCTGCTTTAAGGACTGCTCCCCATTACGGATTGGCACCTTTGGGGGGCGGGGGGGGGAGCGTGTACCCGCATTTGACAGGTACCCGCTCCCACTTCCAGTCCGATCGCCTAAGGTGTCCTCCCTCCCTCCCTCCCTGTAGTCTTTTGAAACACGTGGCAGGT